GATACAGCGCACCTTAATGAGAGCGAGGTCCTTAGGGTCGTATCGGGTGATCGGGTGAAGAAATCGGCAAGGCTTGACCAACTTGGCCGTGGGTGACTCTTGACTCATCGCAGTTTAAGCGGAGATTGAACCCCGGCAGAGGAGTATATAAGCTGACCGAGACACGCATGTTTCGCACACTGGACGACGACCACCTCAACGGTCCCGTTCTCGTTTTCGACCCGTTCTGCTTTCGGTTTTGGTCCGTTCAGATCTCAGTTTCATTGTATTATTGCAATCATGTCTGCAAAGCTTTATGTTGGGTCAGTCGTGTGCGCCTGTGTCGTTTTCCGCTCCGCGTCGCTTCTTCCCTCTTATTCTAACGGGAAGGAGTGCGGCCGCTGATTGTGATTCTTTGTACTCTGTTAGCGGTCTGAGCTGGAATACCACGGATGAGACGCTGCGCGAGGTTCGTCTGATGCCTTGGCTCTGCCTGTGTTGATCTTCCCTGATCGCTGCCTTACTCTATCCTTTTTTTTTTTTTTTACTGCGCCTGCTGATAGGCGTTTGGGTTTTACGGCAGCGTTGTTGACGTACGCCCCAGTTTCGTATACCTCACCTTTCCTGAGTGACAAGTTTTCTCTCCCTCCCTATCTTGCATCCGCTCTATGAACAGTCGATCGTGATGCGTGATCGCGAGACCGGGCGCTCGCGTGGTTTTGGTTTCGTGACTTATAGCACTGAGGCGGAGGCCACCGCTGGCATGGCCAACATGAACGAGGCGGAACTCGATGGCCGTAGGATTCGCGTCAACATTGCCAATGCGCGCCCCAGTGGTGGTGGCGGCGGCGGCGGCGGTCCGTCCAAATCCTTCCTTTTGCATCATCAGCTATAAACCGTCTTTTTGATTTGTAGGATATCAAAGCGGTGGCTATGGCGGCGGCGGCGGAGGCTATGGTGGTGAGTAGAGCACAACAGAGTGTTCATTTCTCGAGATAAATTTTCGGACAATCTGCAGGCGGCGGTTCGGGCGGTTATGGTGGTCAACGTGGTTACGGCGGTGGCTATAGTGGCTAAGACGGCTTTGGTGGAGGCGGCTTCGCTGACCCTCAGCAAGGTGGGTAGTAATTTTGTACGTTGGATGAGCAAGCCTTTAACGTGCCGGGCTACCCGCAAGGGGGTTACCAGCAAGCAGGCTTCCAGCGAAGACGTTACCCGGGAAGAGCGGTCCTATTAACGTCTCCTGCCGTGAGTAGCGAATTCATCACGAGTCGCCTGTGAATCTGACTCGTCCTCGTAGTTCGCAATCGCGAACCCAACTCGCTTACTTATGCTTCCCTGTTCTAGCTCGTGTTTCTCCGTTCTATTCCATTCGTAGGGCCAGTCGTATTTCCCACATCCCTTTTATCGCCAGACGCGCTCATCCACACGCACATCTCCTGTTTGCCCATGGCTCGCTCCTGAAGTCTCGGTTATATCCATCCACAATCCGACGTGTACTAGTACGACTGCGTTTCTCCGATTTTCTCCCTCTTTCTCCTTTCCCCTCCCGCTTTATCTTCTTGCTCTGTCATGCGTGGGTGGGGTCGCCATCAGCCCCTCGCCTTTGTATTCTGAGATAAAAGACAAATGAAAGAGCACTACTTAATGGTGCTCATCTTGACGTCGATCCCGTAGTGATTTGATTCCAATGATGCAATGATAACTCATTCGCGTGAATTATACAATCGCACGTATGGCGGGTTAACCTAGCTGGACGGGAGTGGCGAGTTAACCAATCAAATTTTAGCGTTACACGCACATGGCTGTTCGAAGAGGGATAGATCCGGGCGTCGTCGAGATAGACTAATAGAAGGGGCAGCTGCGCAGAACAAAAAGAAAGCGAAAAAAAGATATGGGAAACCTGCGGATGCGTGGGCACAAAATCACGGAACGATGCACAAGATGCGCCAATCTACATGTCGTCGTACTCCTCGCTGTCCCACGCAGAAATGGCGCAGGTCTTCGAGATGCCTCGCGACGCGCCGCACGGCAGACGACACCGCATATCAGTCCGGCAGCGCACTTTCCGGCGTCACCTAGATGCCCGCCGCGTCGCCCACTGGCAGCGAGTCGGGGCGTACTGTAAGCTGAGCGAGTGGACGTGCAGCACACGCGACGGTCGAGCGTGCGGAAGCCAGTCAGTTCAGTCATCCCTGCCAGTGCATCCCTGCGCGTCTCAGCATTCAGCATGGGTTATGTCCGAGTCATGGGCATCATAAATACAGCCCGAACTCGGCCTTCAAGACACACGCATAAACTGCCATTCGAGGGGTTTCATTCGCACTGCACCGCACTACGTAGCACAGAAAACGGTCTGGTACATGGTAATTGGTAGTAGCATCCATGAGTGGACTGGAATTCTCGTCGCCACCAGCTGCTACCGTTCGTCTCCAGTTTGTCCATCCTCGTCCGCCTGCCCGGTGCGATTCGGTCCCCCAATGGGGTACATGCACGAGTGAGAGCGAGCGAGGGCGTTGCATTGGCTGGCTGCCGTGTACTAAGGGAGCACTTTGGCCACCTGTTATTTTGTTGCGACAATCAGTGTTATCCACACTAATGTACATACTGTAAAGGTATGAAGAAAACATCAATGCACTGTTGTAGTCATATATCCAGGTATTTGGGGTATGATGATACCCCAAATGCCTGGATATATGATCTTTAAGTCGTTACGCCCTCGAAACCCACTCATCTGGATCTGGTCCGACCCACCGAGTCTCTGCATCTTCGCATTCGAGAGCGTGATCGAGGAAGGGGTGAGTTGCGGCACATCGGAGGTGATCGTTGCCGATCCGAGGAAGCCTAGGATGCCCGCGATGAGCGACTCGAGTTCGGAGGGTTCCCGGAGCGACTTCAAAAATGTCCAGCGAAGCGCGGCGGTGTCGAGTGTTCTTCTCCGTCAAAGACTTCCACGCGGTCTTGTCGAGCTTTCAAGAAGACGGCGCCCCATGCGTTTCCAACGTCCGAGAACGTTGGAGCTAGAGTCGAATTACGCCATTCAAGTAAAGGTGGCCGCAGCTCGGGATTATCCACCATCAGCTTCCTCGCAAATGCCCTCAGGCGCTCGTCCTTTTCCTTGAACCTGTCAAGTAGGAAAATAATGACGCGCCCGCAGGCCCACCGGTCGGCTCTGATAGGACTGTGCCTGAAGTTCTGCTCGACCTCGGGGGCCATCCAATGTTCCGTCCCGCAACGGCCATCGACCTCCTCGTCCTCGTCCTTCACTCGCATCGCAACATCAAAATCGATGATTTTCAAGCAAAAGTCCCCGTCGACGACAACGTTGTCGGGTTTGATGTCCCTGTGAGCGATACGGCACTTGTGAAGATACGTGACGCCATCGATGAGGCCCAAGCAGACTTGAACAACCTTGCTGTCAAATTGCTCAGAAGCGACCTCAACGCAGGCATCGACAGTGGTCAGTTTAGGTAGAATGGCCCACCCGTGGAAGGACTCGATTAGCTGGATGATGTGATCGGACTTCGGTTGGATGGTGTCGAGATATCTGAGGATCTCAAGCTCGTTCGATTCCTCCCGAACTTTCTTCGCGATGAATTCTTTGCCCGACTCCAAGGGTCGATACACGGTGAGAATATGATCCGGACTCTAGTGTGGAGCATCAGTATAGCGAATGGTAGGTAGGAAAACGTAGACCGGGACCTTGAGAGTTGGTTCCCATTTGATACCGTCATCATCCACGATGACTTCTGGCTTAACCTCGTAGCCACGTGCTCTGAGCTGTGCGTGGTCACCTCCGCTCCCGCTGCCTGCACCGTCGCCGTCACCGGCACTTGTGCGAGCACGCTTCCTACCGGCGGCGTCCTTGGTGTGCATCGACTTCAAGTTGAGCTTTTGGACCATTTCATTGAGCACGCGAATGTCGTTATCCGCGTTTCTGTTTTGGCCTTCGTCTAATTTTTTGAAAAGCAGGTTGTACAAATGGCGTGCGAACCTGACGCGACCATCCGGGGAATTCAACGAAAAGGTGATCTCGTGATAATAAACCTACGACGACTGAGTCCGCGAGCTTGTTTAATACAAAGCACAAACTACCTTATTTTGTTGTTGAAACAAGATATAGCGACTTGCGCCGCCATTGTCCCAAATAAAGTTAGCGCACAGGACGAAATCCTTAGCCTCGCGGAACGCTCCCACGAAACTGTTCGCGAAACGAACGATCAAGGCACCCGTGATAAGCATCCGGACGATATCCGGGGGCCAGTTACAGTATCCGATGATGTGGAGTTAACCTCCACAAGCAATCGGGGAAGAGAGGAGATCAAAATCAAAAAGTTACTACGCGGATAGTACTTGCGGAGGTCTTCAGTTGGCTTAGCATCGCATTCCAAGAGAACGCAGACAGGCCAATCTTTGTTTCTGCATGTTAAGTCACAATTGAAAGGGACAAACAAATGATCACTTACCGGAGAGTGTCAACCGTGCTGCTCCTTGGAGTACAAACCAGCGGGGCGAAGAAGATCGAGTTCGCCGCTTGTTCCTTCAGCGGATTTCTAGTAGACCCCTTCGCGTCCCAGACTGTTTCCCATCTGTAATACGCAACGTGATGTACGGTATGCAGCACCTCCGATAGCCCGGCATAGCGCGTCATCTCGGGGGATTCCCCTTCGGTTGGCTCATCGAGAGGTTCAAAATATGACCCAGAAATGCCGAGTTCCTGCAATGCAGTATACAATGCAGCGTGCATCTACACTGGCCCATCAAAATCAAACAGGAGACGGGCAAGTCAATCAGATAGCGCACAGGGTCTAGAATTGGCTTTCTGTCCAACATTCGCTCAAAATCCTCAACGAAGGTCGGCAAGTCCATCATCCCTGCATCATGTATATCGTTCCTGCTGATGTTGGAGTGGTTGAAGTTTGCCCATTCCTTCACTTTGGCAAGGATATCCTTGTATTTTCTTCTTAAGTCAGCAACGCAAGGAACACCTTCCATTATGTTAAAGAATGCAAAGTGTTTATGGGCCAGACTGGGGGTTGAACCCAGGCCTTCTGGATATATACCAGGTGCTCTTCCTATTGAGCTTCCTGGCCATGGGTTCACATTACACCTTCAGGAAGCAAGCTTATCAGATATCCGTGCTAGGGCAAAGAGAGGCATGAAGTACTCACCACCAGATCCTCGACCGCCAGCTCTCTTCTGTGCTCTAATAAATATGTGAAGATGTTTACTGCGAGGTTCCCCGGGCCACTCATGGAAAATCGTCTTATGTGACTTCAATTGAACATCGGAAGTGGGCCGATATCGGCCTGCACAAATGGTCCTCCATATTTCTTAATTGTCAAGATTCTCTTCGACCTACCGATGCAACAAGCCAGCAGAGGGCATCCATTACATCGATGTTCACATAGAGATATCATAATACAGCACACCTTAATGAGAGTGAGATCCCTAGGGTCGTATCGGGTGGAGAAATTGGGGTTTTCGGCATGAATTTGCTTTGCTAGGTGATAAATGGATCGGGTAGATGAAACGGTAACGGGGAAATAAGTTCAATATGACACCAAAACTCAAACGTGTTTTCCATTGCGATTGTGCAACAAGTGTAAAAGGAAAAATATTATGCCACGTGACGTCCGGACGTGATTGCTTTGCTACAGTATCTCCCTCTCCTCTCACAGTTTGATACAGCCCCAAATAACAACCGCCAGCAGGACCACACAGAACATCAGAAGCCGCGCCTCCTCGCCCGCAGGCGAACGCTCCAGCACAAGCGCAAGCAGCGGCGTGCGGCGCGTGCCCGGCGTCCCGGCCGGACGCATCTCGAGCGTGGCGCGCCGCACCGACTCCCGCGGCCACAGCAGGCACGTGCGGCGCTCGACGACGTGCAGCGCGAGCGGCAGCCCGTGCGTGTCCGCCGCGAGGACGAACTTGGCGCGCGCGCGCACGGCGGGCCCCGTCAGCGTCTGGGCTCCTGTGCGCGCGAGGAAGACGAGCTCGAAGACGTCAGCCGTGGGCTCGAGCGCACGATGCGGGTACCGCATGTGCGGAGGTCGTCTTCGCCTGAGGAGGGCACGATGCGCAGGGCGAGCGTGCGCAGCTGGCCGAGGGGACGAACGCATCGCGTGAACGTTTCCTGGGTGGTGAGGGCGCCAGACAAATAAGCACTCTTCTGGGGATGGGGATGACGGGCGGGACGAGAGAGATGGCGCACTCACTATGGTGAAGGATGGGCGGCAGGCAATGGTAAAGTCGAGGTGCCGCAGGTGCGGACACGCAGCGACGATGGCGCGCAGGACGGTGCCGTTATCGTAGCCCTGCTCCAGCCGAAACGCGATCGTGAGGGACGCCAGCGCGGGCAGCGCCGCGAGCGATGCGCTCACGTTCAGCGGGGTGCCCTCGCGGAGGACAAGGGCATCCGGCACGCGCAGGGTCTTGAGCGACGCGCGCGCGGGGAGGACCTGCGCCTGCACGAGCGCGCCGCTGAAAGTGCTGACCTTGGCGAGCGCATCGGCGTGCAGGCCGGCGAGGACGCCTGGCGCCGCCACGCTCGGCGCATGGCTCCGCAGGTGGAGTGCCTCCAGGTTGCGGTGCGCGTCGAGGAAGGTGCGGAATGGACGGCCGAGGGCGGGGTTCAGCTCGACGTGCCAGTCGAGCACGACGTCGCCAACCAAGAGGGAGCGCAGTTTCGGCCAGCGCCCGCGGACGAGGCCGTGTGCGTCTACGGGGGCATGTGGCGAGTGCCCGTCGATGGCGAGGTGCTCGAGATTGGGACAGCGCTTGATGAGCATATCCCAGAGTCGATGATAGCCCGGTACGGGTTCATCTATCAATGTCGTCCGACACCTGACGTCAGCTGCTTGCCGACCATCATGAGAAATTTGAACGAAATTTCTCACCGCGAGAAATGCCATCATTCTGCCAGTAGAACCCGCTTTTGAACGTCAGCGAGAACTCGTGAAGGTCGCCAAAGTCGAACAGCTGGACGGGGGGCGAGGTTAACGAAAGCAAATGTTCGCAGCTCGCAGCGCCACACGCACATGGCTGTTCGAAGAGGGCAGGATAGATCCCAGCGTCGTCGAGATAGACTTGAGGCGTGGGCAGCTGCGTAGAATAAAAAAGATGAAGAACCACCCTCCCCTGCGTGGGGACCAAAAATCACGGAGCGACGCACAAGATGCGCAAAGCGAACCACATGTCGTCGTACGGCGGCAGTTCCTCGCCGTCCCACGCAAAATGGCGCAGGACCTCGAGATGCCTCGCGACGCGCCGCACGGCAGACGACACCGCGTACCCGTCCGGCAGCGCACTGCGGCCCCACCTGGATGCCCGCCCGCGCGCGACGCCCGGCGAGTCGGGGCTTACGCTGAGCGAGCGGACGTGCCGCGCGCGCGATGGTCGAGCGTAGAGCATGTCGAGCGTGCGGACGCACTGGGCGGGGCCGCGCAGGACGATGCGGGAATAGAGGGCCGGGGTGAGCGCATCGGCGATTCTTGAAGACTGTCATCGTTGCACGATGGGTGCTGCAGCGTCGGGTGATGGAGTAGAGTTGGCACGCACGGTGAGATATAGATGGAGCACTTCGGACGGACATGACAGGTGATCGGCAATTTCGAGCAGGACGTCAGCCGGGGCCGTGTTCATGGACATATCGTCTCGTCGCAAGAGGACAGAGAAAGGTGCAAGGTGTGCGACCAGCGCTCCGAGGACGCCAAACGCGGGCATCGGAGTGGGTCAGCGATGTCCCTGACTTAGTAACATTCGTAACAAAAAGTATCACAGATCGTCATTTCTCTCATCCTCGTCTGTAGTCTGTAGAGTATACACTCGGCCACTACATACAGACAAAAAAAAATACAGTCGCGACTGTTCTGACTGCTCTATACATGACAGTTAGCTGGCTGCTGGTGGGATATCAATACCTGTAGGCACGAAGAATGTAATAACGACGTGAAAGTGAAAAATGATATGATGTGACGGTCACAACAATACAGTGCAAGGTGGTAATCACGACCTGCAACTGGTCAGCGTAGCCCCCGAGCTGAAAACCAAGGCGCACATTTTGTAGTCTACTCGCGTCCTTTCTGAGTTTGGTGTCGAATACGAGATCGTGATATCGAGATCGCGATTATTGCGCGCGTTTGGGGAGCAAGTGAGCTTGCCCGCGATCTTTTCCCCCTCCGCAATCCTGAGGGTGCCGGGTGTGTAGAATACCGTTTGTCTAGATTTGTGAGCCAGCGAACCACCCGCCAAACAAATGGGGGGACCCACTTCCAGTGAGTATATTTTGCGTGTGGCCCTGTGGAAAAAGAGACCTTTTTGTGTGTGCAGTCGAATGAAATATCAAACCACGCGAGGAAGGCATGTACGACTGTCAACACCGGTCTTGTAGTAAGCCTCTCAAAACGTGACATATTGACATACAGTCATTACGGGTTGCGCGGAGCTCGAAGGGCGCTGAAAATGCCAGGTCCTCTTTCCTTGCAGTTGTCAATCTATGCGCTAAAGAAGGGTGGGTCAGCATCACGAAATCGATGTGGACGTGCTTATGAAACCATGGCAGAAGCTAAAGGACATAGGACATACCTTGAGAATGCATGGATCTGTTGCAACGGCCTTCAGCTCAACGGTGTCCACCAGAGGCTCGCGTAAAGCGATGTCCTTGATGCACGAGAAGTCGAACCCATATACGTTGTCCCAGACTATGGGGGGGCCCTGAGCCGACAGCATTCACGAGTGACGGAGGTACAACACACAGTTGATTTTCTCCTCCTTATACTCTTGGTCCTCGATCGCAGCAAGGTACAACGTCGCGTGATCAGGGAAGATAAGCCCCCCAGGCTTGAGGTAGCGGTCACGGGCCTCGAGCACAGTGTCCAGCATCGACTCGTATAGAAGGAAGTAGCCCATCCATTCGGAAATAATGATGTCGAATTGCTGAATTGGGAGCTCGGCTTCCTCCAGCTTTCCCTTCACGAGAGTGATGGCTGGGGTGCGAAGTTGCATTAGTATACAAGGAGGAAAGCGGTCGGAGGACAAGCAAGGACGCACTGTCTTTGAATCCATTGGCCTCTACTATCTTCACCGCCTGATCGATGATATTGGACATGTCGATCTGGGAGATCCAAAGACATTGTTTACCTCACATGACAGATGCAAAGAAAAAAATGGAGACGTACACCGACAACGTGGGCCGCACCAGCCTTGGCAGCGAACATGGATAGGATTCCCGTGCCACAGCCAACGTCCAACACAGTCTTACCCTCAAAGAGATGTGGGTTGTTAATGATCGCGGCACGGTACGAACCCGTGCGGACGGTGTCCTTCAACATCTCCTCGTGGATACCTGGAGAATATATGAGCACGCAAGTATGACATCTCGACAACAAGGTGGCCCCGAACCGAAGTGCGCGTACGAGTCGGCGTAGCTAAAACCGCAAATGGCGATCGTAAGGACCATCAAAGGCGGGATAGGGGCGCCATTCAGACGCATTAGAACGCACTAGTCTCTGGAGGTCATACCCTCCGGCGGAGTTGCAGATGTGGATGGATGTGCCATGCTTAGTCTGTCGCTCTAACGGTCGCGGTCGCGGTCGACAAACGGAGAAAAATATTTGGTTTGTCATGACACATGCACGTGACTAGGATGCCGGCTCGACGACTGGCCAGGGCAAAGTGGTGCGAGTGCGAGCCGAGCAGGCGCACAGCAATCCGCAGTGACCTGACTCTGACTCTCTCAAGCCAATCCAACACCGCCACCTTGCCACCTTGGTTTATATTTTGCTCCTCCTCTAGCGTGTTATAAAACACCCCCGCCATCCACCATGATTGTCGATCCTCCCACAACCACGGTAGGTTGAGACCTCTCTCACATTCCATTCCTATCCATCGCAGCGGAACTCATTCACCGATTGCCATATCCCTTCCACCCCCTAGAAGATGCACACAGACGCCCCTATCCCTGCAGAGAACCCGCCCGCGTATGAGTCCGCCATTGTTGGCACCAGCACAGGTATGTCCCGCCACGCACGCATCTCGTTCTCGGACCGGGCGAGGTGACGCATCCATCATTCGGTTTTAGTGCCACCGCCAG